GCCATATCGGAAGGGCGGGGCCAGTAGCCGGGAGACGCCTAGTCCGGAAGGGACCGGGGCCGGAGAGCCAAGGCCGTACATCCTCGCGGCAGGTTGGTGCTGGCGGCCGAGCGGCACCTGCGGAGGGCTGCGCTCTCCGCCCCCAGACGCCCCGCCTTGGAGCCTCCAGGGTCTCCGACCACCTTCACCCCCGCTGCAGCCCCTCCGACGCCCCTAGCTCCCCAGCCCCGCGGGGACCCGGCTGCATCGCGGAGGAGACTGTGGGAGGCTCTGGGTTCTTCTGGGTCTGAGTCCTGGGGACTGAGAACCCGGCCGCGGGGACCGTCTTCCTCCGTGGCTTGAGAGGTGTGGCGCCCGCACGTGGCCCAAGCTCGGTGCTCGCGGCGGGAAGGAAAGCAGGTGTGGGTGGGGAGCAGAGAAGGGCGATGGGAGAGTCCTTCCTTCCGCAGGAGTTCAGGCGCCCGGAGCCTGCGAGGCGCCGGGGAAGCGTCAGGGAGCACAGACACCGTCCCTGTCCATAAAGCTTTCCTTTCGGGAGCGGGGGTGGCGGGGATGGGAACAGAGTCCCCGACACTCACCATCTTCCAGAGGAGTCCTCCAGCAAGAGAGTGCCCCAGCCAGGAGAGCCCCCAGGGCTGGAGGTCACAGACCCCCTCTGCTCAGTAGGAGTTAGGCCTGTGCTGAGTGCCGGGCGGACACGCCAGCTCAGGCCTGCAGCCTGAGGCTTAGAGAGGACCTGCTAGGAGCTAGGGGCACAGGCTGGTGTGCTGATCCCCAGTCAGTGAGCTTTGGAATGGGGGCGTTGTTGTACCCTAAGGTCGCAGAGGACAGTAGGACCCCACATGGATCCCAGAGAAGAAAAAGGTGGGACAGTGTCAGCACCAGGGTTTAATTCTGAGTCCGCGAACAGGATGCATGGTGGGGGCGGGTGGTTCTGGAGCTGGACCCTGGCCTCTGCTGAGCTGACCGCATTTTGGACGCCTGGCTGGGGCTACTTGGAGGTCCCCTTCTTGGATTTGCTGGTCAGGAAGGTCTCTGACTGTTGCAGGGGGGGCACTTTGACGCCTTTCTGCTTCAGCTGATTATAGTAGTCGCTTCTCTCTGAGATAATTCTCTACACAAGAAACACCGCCTTTGAGGTGGCCTTCCTAGTGCTCACCTTGGCCTTGAGGCCGGTCTGCCCAGTCCATGCCAGCTGCCCAGGACGCCACCCTCTCTTCCTCCAGAGGGGCTCTCTGCAGCTGGGGTGTGCTGGTGAATACTTACAGCTGGCTGTCCCGAGGGAGAAAAAAGCAAAAAACCCTCGGCTTTGTGGCATTGCTGATTTCTGTGGTGTGAATACTCCCAATACTCCCATGGCGGCTGATTTTCAGCCACGGAAGTGAAGTCACAGAACGCAGAGCCGGGAGCAGGTGCACAGCACCCACTTGCAGGACCCTGTGCTGCGTCCCCTTCTTCAGCCCTCTTAGAACTGTGAGGAGCCCCAGACTCCTAAAGACCTTTGAGGTCATCACATCTGTCCCTCAAGTCCCTTCTTTTGTCCTCTGCAAAGGGAAGGTTGTCCCCACCCCTCTTCCAATTTCCTCATCTCTGGGCCATTGCTGTTTCATGTCAGGCTATAGCAAGCAAGCAAAGAAAGGTGCTCTTCCCTGGCTGCTGTGTGGTGGGAATAACTCCCTCCGTCCTCTGTCTTCCCTCTTCTCTTCCTCTTTCCCTCCCCGTTCTCTGCCCTCCCCCAGACAACAGTAACAAGGGCACAGAGACCTCCCCCCACATTACAGCTCCACAGGGCCCACCCACTCTGCAGAGGAAGGGAACCAAGCCCCAGGAACTTGAGTGCTGGAAGGAAGGTCATGGGAGCACACTGGGGTTTAAGGGCAGCCCCAGAAGGGAAAGGGTGGCTCTTGGGACCAGAAGCAGCACCTGGTGAGAGGTGACCCCTGCATAGCACACGGCCCCACACAGAGCTACAGCCGGTGCCCGACTCC